GCGTCGACTATTAAATCAGTCGTCGACGATTTTGATAGTCGACGTAATCGTGACTAGTCGACTAATCGTGGCAGCCCTACACAGAAGACAGCTCACGTGCACGATAACAGAATTATTTCCAGGTTTCAGAAAAACAACTTCTGGAGAAGGCAGGTAAAGGTCTAATATCAAAACATGCCTTCATGAATGGAAATACAGTAAGTTTGCAACAAGGCGTCCAGCACGGCTACATTCAAGAACAAAAAGGCTACATTACAGGAAAACATCTAAGCGCTTGCACAGCTGTCACTGGCGTTTATTGATCACGTGATTGCCGATAGAAGTAGCAGAACGAACTGTGAAGCGTGCAGGGCTGTACTCTCTGCTCACACAGTGTTTGTAGCGCAAATGGATCATGACTATTCTTCAACAGCCAAGCCAGTCACCATTTCAACACAACAGAGCAGCAACTGAAGGTGGCTGCAGTGAAAGCACAATATTTGGTGACATCTATGAGTTCAAGACTTCATTTTCATTCAAATATTAAAAACAATCCTTATATTATAAATTAGATTAGTTGGTCCAGTGACTCTTGAGCCTTTGAAAATGGGGTTATGTGGATAATTACACAGTCATACTGTTTGATTCAAAAACACTGAAGCAAAATGATAAAAACGTCACGATTAGACTTCACTGTAATCACAGAGGAGCAACCCACTGGAAAATCACTGTGAGGTTATTGGTGCCAGGGGGACTGTTTCGCATATCAAATGTTCATTCGCTTGTCCCACCTTGTAGTTTAAATATTTACACAGGTTGGGTGGAGCTCTGTTTTTACAGCCCCGTGTCCATCAAGGTGAAGACTGAACCACCACGTTTGGGACAATGACGAGCTGTTAAACTGGCTCCTCGTCCGGCCGGGATAAGGTTTCACAGTGTTGGAAACGCTCTGTTATTGTTTTGCATCGTCCTGAAAGACCACTCATCTCCTTAGAAACACGCAGAGGCACGAATAAACGCCGGACACAAAGACCTTGGATTAAGTTGTCGAAACACAGATCGGTCATCTGTCGCTGGGTTAATGGTTACAAGGTCGACGTACCTGTCTTTTATAAAAGAAGGGAAGAGTCTGCGAGGGAACCAGACGGCATAACCGACCGCCAACACCCACAAGATCGAGAGCTCGTCCAACATCTGACCGACGAAACTAAGAGTCATGTGAAAGTACGCCGAGAACAGCCCTGCAAAGAAGAGAGAACGAGAGAAGGATGTCGAATTATTCATGTTTTTAGAATTTTAGGCGAAGACAAAAATAAAACGGGTAAAGTGAGACGTGTTACTGCACGTTCACAGATGGTTAAGAACAGTGCAGGGGAGACATGCAGAGCTTCTTCTCTTTTCGTGCTTTAGTTATTACATTTAAACTCTTTCGCATACTGGTTAAACTGGTTCGGCAACTGTTGCAACTAATAAGTATTTCTTTTAGTGTCGTAAGACTTTAAGAAAACCCAGTCGGTTCAGAGAAGCTTCAAACATCTGCTACAGATCTTCCTACTTGATAACACATTTCTTGTGATATCTATTTCATCTATACCGAGTCAGCCTGTTTCACAAATACAAAAGATTTCGTGGATTTCTAAGGATTTTGCAGACATACGGTTGGTTTAAATAAATAAATAAAGAACTGACCTACAAAAATCATCATGACCCAAACCAGGTGGATCGCCAAGCTCCTCTCTTTGGCATACGGGTGCAGAAGGTAGAGCATGATGGGAGAGATAATGAAGAAAATGAAGCTGCTCATCTGCAGGGAAAACATTCAATCGATCACAAGTCCAAAGTGTGGCTTTGAGTTGCAGTTGTTGGGCTGATGGCGCCACTGCTGAATAAAAAGCTTTCAGTTTACCGTGTTGAAGGACTCGACCACGTGCTCAGAGTGTCTGTAGTTGTCTTCGCACCAGTCGATTTCTGAACTCTCATAGGAGAAAACTCCCGCCATCCTCTCGCCAGAGTGAACACCTGAGAGACGCAGGGACGAGAGTGGCCGCTGACTCTGGTGTAACAAGCACACCTGCATTTTTCAGTAGTCAAATTAAGCTGTTTGTATATGTGGTTTATGGAAATCATTATCCCCTCCACCCAGCAGTCAAATGCTAATCGCACCCTTTTACAATTTCACTTAAATGTAAGTCCCTGCTGGCGCCTACATTTCCCATGATGCAACCGGACAGCATGTCCAGCAATGTCATAAAAACAGCCCAGAAAATGTGACCGATTCAGACGTTGCTCCACTTTTATTATATTTTTATGACATGATAAAAATGGCGCCGTATACACAAACAGACTTTTTGCTCCATGGTTAATGTTTTGTAACCGTTAGTGCAGCACACCAACACGATCCAGTTAAATCAGAGGTCGTTAAAAACTCTGACTTTTGTCATTTTGAATATCAAATTCATCTTTGCTACTACAGTAAGTTCATTTCCATAGTTGTTTCCCTTTTAATTGCTGGGTTCACTTTAGCGTAGGATGAGGACACTTCACACGTCCACGACTGTTTTAACCTTCGCTGCACGACATCTGACATCTGTGCTATTAAAACACAACCTGCCGTCTTTCCTAGAAGGCTGTCAGATGTGGCACAGTGTGTGAATGGTGCCTGGTTCACAGTATTTGTTGGACTTGATTTATTGCATCATTATTATATGGCTTTTATTTACACTTACAGTGTAAATAAGGGGTGGGGGTTCACATTCACAAAAGTACACATTGGACTTCAGCTTGAATTGCTTTTAAACCTCAGTATGGCCTCAAAATTGGGACTAAAATGTTCCCAATGAGTTTTATATCCACAGAGGCCAAGGCCGCTAATTTCAGTCTCACCACTGAATCTGGATATTTTCTACAGCAAAAATATTACCTGGAGCTTTCAAGAGTACTTAATTTATTATGTAGCCTAAACAGGAAGTCGTCATCAGAACACCACTCTTCATGCTGATATCTGAATTACAGATTTTTAACAGTGTCAATAAACTTATTTCAGAGTTTGTAGGTGTACCTAATAAAGTGGTCACCGATGGGAAAAGAAGTACTCCGCCTTTAAGTACAAGTTGTAATACTATTGCAATATTACAAGTCTCATCATATATGTACTTGCTTTCCAGAACAATCGATGTCAGAATACTAACATATTACTGCACAACACTCTGTTATGTACTACAGTGTAAATCAGGCGACTGAACACTGAAAGAAAAATATTATCTATAGAAACAACTCCCAGTTTATCTGTTGATTAGAACTCGTATGAATAACCTAGACTAGGAAAATAGGCGGTTGAGTTCAAAGGTCATTAAGTAAAGGTGGTGAAGTACAAGTATAAAGTATGAGAGAAAGTAGTTGAGCACAATATATTAAGTAACAGTAAATTACTATTTATTACCATCCTGAGGAGGAATAAACATCGAGTTTTCCTGACAGGGAAAAATCTTTTTGTCAGAAATATGAATGAATATTTGGACAAAAAAAGTGTCCCAATAATTAAAAAGTTCATTTTTCTTATTACAGGGTGTTACCATGGGAAACCGGCTCTTACCTGCCATGCTGTCGTCCTGCAGCCCGGCACTGCTGCTCTGCTCCAGGTGCTGCAACAGGTGGATTTAACGAGGCGGGGTTTTGAAACGCTCGCGATCCCGAAGCACGAGCCCAGGAACGTCACTGACGGTCACGCGGAAAGGTTTCAAATCTCTGGGACAATATGTCATCACAGAGAAAATGTCTGGAATGAGCTCGTTTGTTTTTCTTTCTTCATTGACAGTTCACCAGGCCCCGGGGAAAGAGCAGGAACCGGTTACTCAGCAGTAACGGGTAACGTAGAAACGACCATGTGAGGCAAAAAAACCCCTTTAACAGGCTGTAAACACGCGACAGGCGACTGGAGGGTTAAGAGCAAACCTGAAAAGAAACACGGAAAACCGTAACAGGTGTTCCAGGTAGCTGCACCTGTCTGAGGAATCTCAGGTTTTTCCTAAAGGAGGTTCAACCGACCCATCTGCCGCATTTCAAAATAAAAGCATAATCCTGCAGCGAAGGAGCAGGTATGGTGGGAACACGCTGAGTCTTGAAACTCCAGATAGTTGCATTTATATGGTTTAACTCAAAACAAAGAAAGCATTAACTGCGCACACTGGCTTAATAACGTTCCCTGCGATAGAAATTGTTTGGAAAAAAGTACTCATGTATTTAATTACAAATAGTTACCGGAGAGTCACCTAATATTACCAAAAGTACTCATCGGTCTCCCATTTCAGGCTACACGTTGTCTTCTTATGTCACGGTTTTCAGTGCATGCATATTTACTCTGTTGTACTGTGACACTGTGCTGCTGCAGTTTGAGTCTTAATCAAATCCACGTGGAAATCAATGGGGTCCAGTGTGATTTCGTTTTTTATCACATGTAGAAGTGTTTATGATCTGTAAAGTTAAAAAAAAAACCAATACATTTGATGCTTCCACCTCCACACAAACCGCTACGACGAAATCTGAGACAGATGAGCGGTTAATCTCTCTCATAATTTAGAGAAAAATAGGCGCAGCACCAATCAGGAGGCTTTGGCCAATCCAATTACTGCAGGCTGCGCAGCTTTAAACGAAGCTGCTGCTGCTGAGACGCAGGTTAAAGATCTGTGCTGTGGCCTGTTTGCAGCAGCTGACAGGCTCATTATTATTTTGGTTAGATCTTTGCACAATCTGTGCATCTTTCAGTGCCTCCATATTTTTGTCCAGCACCTTGTTTATTCTAAGAAGTCCAACTAATACCAGCAACATGTACCTCAGTGAGCAGATATCATGATACTACTTGTAGGAACAGGAAATCTCTTTTGGGAGCTTTTTTTTAGAGCTACGTTTCAGAACAGGTATAATATTATTTTTGTGAGCAAACATGTCAAACTTTATAACAACTGAAAGAAAAATCTTTCTGAGGGACTCTTTTTATTTTAATCTTCTCATTCACATAAAAAACAAAATAACTGAAAGTAATCACATATTTTACAAAAATCCACCACAAGTTAAAATAAAAATACAAAGCTGGCCAAAATAATCACATTCAAGTTCATATTAAAGTTCAACCTTTAACCTTTCTCTGTGTTCTGCTCTTCAGAAATGTTTTTCTAACTTACCGGCAACACTAAACAAACAAGTGCAAAAGTCCTCGAGGTAAAAACGTGGAAATAAAAGTTTTTTCCTTTTTTTTTTTATTAAAACGAAAATATAAGAAAATACCACGAGAAATCTCAGTAAAAAAATCAGAGTATAAAAAAGATAACTGACATTAAAATGTTGCTCCTCTTAATGGCTTTGATTTGATCTGAAGTTTCAGAGCAAAAGCATCATCATCATCAGTATTTTCAAAAGTCTGTTATCACTCGATTAGACGCTTGTTGACTTAATCAAAAGAAGTAGTCGTCATTGATCGTGAAGAAAGCTTCAGGCAGATAAAACAGTGTAAACATCAGGAAGCGATGCAGTATTTTCATGCTGCTCTTCTGTCACGCCTTCACTCGGCGTAACTTTGAGTCGTGGAGGAACCAGTCAGAGGTGACGTCGAAGACCTCGCCGGTTTCTTTCTCAACGGGATTGTTTGACACCAAGACAAAGATGGAACCTGAGCAGCTATTTGCAGTTGTGCTTTAGCGATAATAAACCCAAGAGTAATCCTTCGTGTGTTCTGCTTCTACGGCACGCTGCCGGGTAAATTAGCTGGGGCTCAAACATCAGAGAGCTCGGCCCTTTGAAAGCCCCGATGCATCCGTGAACAACTCGCAGGCAGTTTCTGAATGTGCTGAATTACATCTGTTCATGAGCAAACACAGACACGTTCGCAAGGTTCTCATCAAATCTTTTCCACATAGTTACCCGGGAACAGACCTTCCTTCCCTCTAATTCTGCCCGTCCACCAGCCTGACGGGTCTGCGGAGAGAAACGGTAAACAAACACATCATGAACCACTTCCAGTCTATCTCATCAATATGCATCTCCCTACATGTCGTTGCTTTCGTGCACGCACCTTCTTTGACAAGATCTAACACATCATTGGCCTCGAAGCTGATCTCATCCGTGTCTTGGCCGACGTACTGATATAACGCCCGGCAGCGAGGACCCTGAGGTCGAGGCTGCGGTTTAGGAGCAGGAGGAGGTCGCTGGTGGATGCTCATTTTCCTCTGCTTCCTGTGACAAAGGGGGAAAAAGGAGGTGCTCAAGACCATAATTTATTCACATTTTATTTATTTATTAACATAAATAAAATTAACTTTTAATCACGCGTGGGTTGAAAATGGCAAAAGTGCCAAAAGCTGCAGTTCCTCAGCTGGCCACTGGGGGCTGGCTCTAAAAGCGAGTCAATCCCAATAAAGTCCCATGTTAAAATATCTAAATTTACAACAGGAAAACATATGTTTTGCTCTCTGTAGATATTTATCCCCTTTGTTCTCCGTATGAGAGGTCATTTCTGTAAAATTTACCCCTTAAAAGGCTTAAAGTTGGGCTTAATTATAGCTGCCTCTGAGGAATCAGCTGTTCAGTTTCCTTCTAACTACTGATTGTTTTAATAATTCATTTTTAGCAGAATGCAGCATCCAGTTTAAGACCACAGTCAGTGAACTTTGCAAACCAGCACTAGTCTCGGCTAAAACATCCTCAGGACTCATCCCAGTCCGGGCTCATCCGTATCCCAAAAAAGCAGCGGTCAGAATAACAGACCGTCAGCTGAAAAACAAACAAACATAAAAGCAAGGTGTTGTTGTCGTTGATAGTCGTTGACTTTAGCCAACAGCGTGCGCCACACCCTGAATGGATTAAAGAGAGGCTGTCGGGATTTTTCTCCCCAGAATTAAGGAATTAATGTGTTTAAATCTCTCTCAACCCTCAACATTTATTTAACCAGACTTTCTGACCCGCCTCTGAGCGCAGCTGGTAGGAACTACTTTGTTCCCAGAACACCCCCCCCCCCCTCCCCAAACCAGCGAAACAGCATCTAGTATGGAAGAGATGATTCAGTAATTCAGTGAGAAACAAACAGGTTTCTCTGCCTCGCTCTAACTTTCAGTTACTCGCAGGTTTCAGCAGTTTCAGCCTCACCTTGGTAATCCCTCACAAACCACACCTTCCTTTCTTTTTTAATGTCTTTTTTAAACATGTCTTACCCTGACATGCCCTGATCAGGCACATTAAGGAAGTCCAAGTTTCCTTGGTTATACTGGTTTGGCGCTGGAGGTCGGGGGCCTCTCTGGGATCCCAGTTTGGGCGGGCCTCCCTGGAATGGTCGGCCCTGCTTTTGCGGGGAGGAATACGTGATATCGGCTTGTGGGTTAGGAGGACCTCTGGGGAATTTGGCTCCACCGTTCTGATGCGCTGAGGAGAGAACGAAGCGTGTGCTTCAATAACAGAGCAGCAGTACGACGGTAAAGACTCAGAACGGCCCGTTTCAGTGTTATATGACACGACTGTTATCACTGGTGCCTTTACTGGTTTATTGTTTTACAGCTTCACATACTGCAGCCATATGTCGTATGGAACAAGCTTTTATTTACGACCTAGATGAACAAAGTAAGCAATCGGCTGTTCAATAAACACAAAGTAAAAAGGATTATGATTGAAACAGCTGAAAAGTTAATCAAAATACAACAGAGTGTAAATACTGCAGTACTTTATGTTTCAATAAGTACATCCACACTTCCTATTTAGTTACTTTGAGCCACTGGGAAGTTTTTTTCCACATCTAAAGGCTTTGGGTGGGATCACAGGTGAGTAGTGGCTTACATTTGGGGGCTACGTGGTTTCTTCCTCCTCTTCCTCCACCGTAAGACGGCGGAAACGACTTCCTGGTTGGCTCTAATCAAAAGAAGGGACAGTTAGGATGCTTATACAGGCAGCATTTTATTTACTATTTAAATTTGCTCATGAACATAATTTATTCACATTTTATTTATTTATTAACATGAATAAAATTAACTTTTAACTGTCACGTGTGGGTTGAAAATGGCAAAAGTGCCAAAAGCTGCAGTTCCTCAGCTGGCCACTGGGGGCTGGCTCTAAAAGCGAGTCAATCCCAATCAAGTCCCATGTTAAAATATCTAAATTTACAACAGGAAAACATATGTTTTGCTCTCTGTAGATATTTATCCCCTTTGTTCTCCGTATGAGGTTGGCAGCATTTTATTTACTATTTAAATTTGTTCCCACTTTTTTCAAGTCTATACGGCATCATGACTTGTTGTAACCTACTGGAGGATTTGGGCAGACCATCTCCTATTGTGACAGACAGAGTCTTCCCTCCAGGTTTGAGCTGGGCCACGTCTCCAGGGCCTTTCTGGAACACTACTATTCTGGTGCCTCCTCCACCCCAGCCCTCCTTCTTCACTCTGAACTCCAGCCTGAAGCCAGAAGAACGTGCGTTAGTCACCCCTGCGTGTTTTTTCTCATGCTAACAAAGGCTGTGTGCTCCTCTACCGACCTGTCACCGAAGGAGATTGTCAGTTTTCTTTTTGTCCCTTCCTCGTAGCGTTTGGAAAGCAAACTGAGGAACTCTGTCTTAAAGTTGGATTCCAGCAAACTGTCATACTGGGCTTCGTGGAGGATGAAGAAATCATCCTGTCTCGTACT